ATTATTGACAAGAGGAATGGCTGTGTTTATTGTTTAATGTTATATGGCCCCGGTTCTGTACAGTATATGTGTGACTGTAAGAAAATGAAAATGGAGAATAAAACTATCTATGTGAACTCAAAGAGAGGGGCGGCTACTATTTAAAGAGAAATAAGCTTTTGGCATTGTTCCAAGCTGGCAGTGGCGTAAACAGGCTTCTCCTGGGCACCCCTGTAAAACTGAGCCCGGTTGCCGAGTTTCTCCCTGCCAGTCCTTACTGTGTTTCTGTGCGGAAGAGGAATTCCACTTTCTTCCCCTGATTGTTCTGCAGCAGGAAAAGGCGGAAAAGGTTTTTGTTGTCGCCGTGGAGTTTCATTTCACACTTTTCCCCACGCACATCCGAGGAGGCTGCGTAATCGAACACAATGAAACGGCCATTCCTGCGGGAGACACACAGAGAGACAGAGAGAGGGAGAGAAGGAGACAGGGAGAGAGATGGAGAGAGGGAAAGGGGGAGGGAGAGAGAGGGAGAGGGAGAGAGGAAAAGGGGGAGAGAGGGAGATGGAGAGAGGGAAATGGAGTGAGAGACGGAGAGAGAGGGACAGAGAGCGAGAGAGAGGGAAAGGGAGAGGGGGGGGAGAGGGAAAGGGAGAGGGGGGAAAGGAAGAGAGAGAGGGAAAGGTAGAGTGAGGAAGAGAGGGAGAGGGAGAAAGAGGGAGACCGAGAGAGGGACAGAGAGGAAAAGAGAGGAAGAGGGAGAGAGAGACGGAGAGAGGAAGAGGGAGAGAAGAAAAGGGAGAGAGAGGGAGATGGAGAGAGGGAAATGGAGAGAGAGAGACGGCGAGAGAGGGACAGAGAGGAAAAGAGAGGGAGAGGGAGAGAGGGAAAGGGAGAGAGAGGGAAATGAAGAGAGAGAGAGAGGGAGAGAGAGGGAGGGAAAGAGAGAGGGGAAAAGAGAGAGAAAAAAACAGGGATCAATATTCATTGCTCTGGGCCTGGATTGTTTGATTCTTCTTCTTATAGGAAAAGACAGGAAGAACTGTGCTAGTTTCAAGTTCCCTCCCAACTCTATCATTCTGTTCTATTCCATTCATCTGCTTTCCATCAGGATCTTTCTTCCTGGGTCAGCTGCGTAAGAAAAATAAAACAATGAGCCAAAGATCTTGCAGGGCCTCATGGCAAAGGTTCCCCTCGCACATGTGTGCTAGTCGTTCCCAACTCTAGGGGGCGGTGCTCATCTCCCTTTCAAAACCGAAGAGCCAGCGCTGTCCGAAGACGTCGCGAGGAAGGATTATGCACATCCCAGAACAGCAGTTCCAGATGCTCCTTAAGAATGTTATTCCATATATGTCAACTCATTTTAATTTTGGTTTCCGAAGGGTGAATTTGAACAGTTGGGAAACCGTTTGAAGTCTCTTGACTAGACTTATCCCACAATTGTTTGGCCCATCAAAGCAGAAAGATACTGAGAAATATCTAATTTATTTATTTTTCCTTTTTAGCACAATAACTTTTTAAGGATTACATTAAACAGATAAAACAGAGAGCAATTTCCCCTACATCATTAATTTTTTTTAAAAAATAACTATCAAAAAATTTGCAGTGATCCAACTTTAAAAATACCTCAGTTTCGCATTCTGTGTTATTCAAATAATAATTTAAGTATATTTGCATTCAGGGGCAAATTAAATGCTTTCCTTTCCATTCCTACTCTAGGTAAAGGTTCCTCCCGCACATATGTGCTAGTCGTTCCCAACTCTAGGGGGCGGTGCTCATCTCCCTTTCAAAGCCAAAGAGCCAGCGCTATCCGAAGATGTCTCCGTGGTCATGTGGCCGGCATGATTCAACACCGAAGACGCATGGAACGCTGTTACCTTCCCACCAAAGGTGGTCCCCGTTTTTTCTACTTGCATTTTTACATGCTTTCGAACTTCCAGGTTGGCAGAAGCTGGGACAAGTAACAGGAGCTCACTCGGTTACGTGGCGCTAGGGATTTGAACCGCCCACCTGCCGACCTTTCTGATCGACAAGCTCAGCATCTTAGCCACTCAGCCACCCCAGGTCCTCATGGGGGGCAGCTGAAAACACTAGCCACGTTCTTCTTTCAAGAGATGTCTCTGTAGCCATCTATCTTACTGAGAAGAACTTCTGAATCTGCAGGGAGTCATAAATCCTTCCTTCTTGGGTAGGTTCAAAACAGCCCTGGATTCTGCAGAGACCCACCCCCCAAAAAACTTACTCCCTGGGTCGAGAAAGAAGCAGGTAATCATTGAAGAGATGGAGGTAGATGGGTCTGGTGGTGAGCTTCCACTTTAAGCTGATATTATATTCCAGAGCTGTAAGTTCTCCATGTTTTACTAGCCGACGAGACTGTGAGATAAGTGGGAAGATCTGCAAAGGGAAGGAGTCTCCTTTTAGCCATGTTTTTTAAAATACACACACACACACAAATACACACACATTGTTCTTGACCTATGACCACAACTGACCCAAATTTTCAGTTGCTAAATGAGACATTTGTTAAAGGAGTTAGAAGAAGATGATCATCCAAACTGAGATGCTTGACAACTTATTTATGATATTTATAATTAACTTAACAACTGTCTCCTTTTACTGATACTTAAATCCTTGTCTTATCATAACTCCCAGCTAGGCTTCTCCTCCAGCAAGTAGCAGGACATATATGTGTTACATATTGTATGTATATTATATATGTGGCACTATATATATATATGTGTGTGTGTGTGTGTGTGTGTGTGTGTGTGTGTGTGTGTGTGATATTTGTGCTGATAAATAAATAAATAAATTAAAATCTTATATATAGATAGAT